ACATTTTATAAGTTGGCCATGCCCATCCAGTCACATCGCTGGCAAGCCACTCCCACCCGGTCACATGGCTGGCAAGCCACTCCCACAAAGCAGGCCACACCTACAGAAGAGGTTCTAAAAAATGTTGAAACCCACCACTGGTCTGTGTGTCTGTCTGTGTGTCTGTCTCTGGTCTGGGATTGATCTGGATTCAAAAACATGAAGAACGGTAATAGGAATTGGGGATGATTGTGAAGTTAAAAGAAAGAGAAGAATTGGATTTTTATAAAATATGGAATGGAATTTACAAGCAGCTACGAAACAGAAGCCAAAACAGGAATTCTCTTTTTCTAAACTAGTATTGAATAAAAAAATAACCAAAGTTACTAATTACTATCAAACCTAAAGTATTGACCATAATGTAAATATAAGGGTGATATGAACAATTAACATTATTACAATTGTTAGTACAACTGTTATTACACTACAGGTGTTAAAACCGATAGGAAAGCAACGTAGAATAAGCTAAAGCTAAAATGTGTGCCGATACGGAAGGCTGTAAAACTATTTTATATTGTTAGGTTTGTCTTGTTTTTTTCCTGTATTTGTTGTTTCCCCCCCTGTTTTCAAAGGTAAAAATGTTTAATAAAAATTATTTTTTTTTAAAGAAGGGAATTGGGTATTTCTAGTTTAAGGAAAGGAAGGACTAGGGGAGACATGATAGCAGTCTTCCAGTATCTCAGGGGCTGCCACAAAGAAGAGGCGGTCGAGCTATTCTCCAAAGCACCTGAGGGCAGGACAAGAAGCAATGGGTGGAAACTAATCAAGGGGAGAAGCAACCTAGAAGTATGGAGAAACTTCCTAATAAGTAACGACAATTAAGCAGTAGAACAACTTGCATGCAGAAGTTGTGGAATTTTTAAAGAAGAGATCGGGCCACCGTTTGTCTGAAATGATCTAGGGTTTCCTGCCTGAGCAAGGGGGTTGGACTAGACGACCTCCGAGGTCCCTTCGAATTCCGTATTCTTGACTACAAGATCTTGCCTCCCTGTTGGCGAACTAAATGGCCGTCCATTGCAGGAGATCAAGAAGAAGAAAGGAATCAAGGAAGAGATTCAGCTCACGAGTAAACAGAAGGAGATGTTGACTGCCCAGCTGGAGAAGGAATCTCAGATGAGGAAGCAATTGAAAGAGGTAATTCAGAGTATTATTTTTTGTTTTTAAGGAACACTTAAGAAAAGTGGAAAGGGGGGGGGGAGGAGAAAAAAGGGTTAACTGGCAGAAATGCTCGGAGGAGAAATTGCAGCCTTGTTGGAGGTCTGTGGAGATTCTCCGTCCTCCAGGTCAGGGGGTCTCCAACCTTGGCCACTTTCAGAGTTGGCCACTTTCAGCAATGCTGGCTGAGGAACTCTGGGAGTTGAAGTCCACAAGTCTTAAAGTGACCATGGATGGCGGCCACTGCTCCAGCTCACAGTTGTCTCAAAGGTTATCAGGGTAAGGATGATTTAAAGCTGACCAGCCAATGTAACGCCGTAAATTAAGATGATGAAATAAGGCTGAGTCAGCAGAGGTATTGCCGCTTTAAGAAGCTGGGGTATTGCCGCTTTAAGAGGCTGTCTATATAAGAGAGGCCATGTGAGAATGTCTCTCTCCCTCTCCTAGTGTATCTCTCTCCTCGTGTATTATCTTCATAGTAGTTCTCTGTGTAGAGTTGGAGATTGATTGATTGCCTAGCTGTGCCTAGAATATGTGTGTGTGTGTGTGTGTGTGTACACATACATAAATACATACATACACATATACATGTACATATATATCTGTCCTGTATGCCTTGTATATAGACGTCTTGTATATAAACCACTGTTTGTAAGACAAACCTCTGTGTCCTGTATTTTGCTCCTGGGTTGCTCCTAATCACTCTGTGCACTCTGACAAAGGTACTTTTCCCTCCCAAAAGGCACAACTTGAACTCTGTGCTGTTGTTCTCTTCCAGCTGGACACTGAATTGGAATCCACCCTGGGCCTTTTTGACGCCGTTCTCAAGAGGAACCCTCCCAGCCTCTCCCAGTACATCCCCGCCCTTGTCGGCTGCTTCCTACCTCTGCTCAAATCTCCCCTGGCAGCTCCGAGGATTAAGGCCCCCTTCCTTTCTCTGGTGTCCTGTGTGATGCCTGATCACTTAAAGACCTTTGGTGAGTCTTGGTTTCTCAAACTCTCTGTTAGGCGCAATAAATCAGGAAACAAGATTGTTCGAACAACCAGATTTTTATTGCAAGCTAAGGCTTTCTACAACAGAGGTCCCCAACCCCAGGGCCTCTGGGCCCACGGTGAGAGGTGTATTCAGCCGGTTCGGACCGGTTCGCCTGAATCGGTAGTGGAAATCGTGGGTGCTCAGTACAGACTCAGAGCTGCAGAGCTAAGCCAAGGCCAGGCTCCTAGCTGTCTCCAGCAAATCCTGTTTCCGTTTCCAAACAGCCCTCATTGGCTGACTTGGTTGCTATGCCTATTCATTGGCTGACCTTGTTACTGTGTGTTCCAAATCATGAACTCTCATGCACTGGCATACTGCATCCCGCAAATGGCGTCCTTTGGTGAGATTCCGTCACGATTTCAACATGTCCTTCCTCCTCTCCCTTCCTTTCGCCTTTCAGGGACCGTAGCAAGTCACGTGACTTTGCGAATGATGAAACCCGAATGCGATTTGGATGAATCCTGGTGCCAGGAAGACTTACCCACAGCTGTGAACCGAGTGATCGGTTTGCTGCACACACACACCGTGCCAACCCGGATAACCAAGGGAGAGGAGGGTAAGGCCTTTTGACGACCTTCTCAATGTAACCATTCTTGGCGCCCGAAGTCCTTGGCTTAACAACCTTTCATTTAGTGGCCATTCAAAGTTGCAACGCCGCTGAACAAAGTTGACTTACGACCGTCGTTCACACAACTGTGGCTCCATCCCCATGGTCCCACGATCAAACTTCAGGTGTTTGGCAACTGGCTCCTATTTATGACAGGATCACGGGATCCTCTTTTTGTGACCTTCCGACAAGCAAACTCCATGGGGAGGTCGGATTCACTCAACAGCCGTGTGACTAATTTAAGAACCGCAGGGATTTACTTAACAATCGGGGCGAGAAAGGTCATATTTAACCACCGTCTCACTTAGCCACAGAAATTTTAAGCTCTTTTGTGGTCATAAGCTGCGTAGTGGTGTGGTGGCCCAAAGGTGGAGCTCTCGCCTCACAATGAGGGAGGAGGCTGTCAGTTCGATCCTAGGTAGAGGCTGATATTTCTCTCTCTTGGCACAATGAGAGTTTATCTGCTGAACCAAACTCTGCTCTGGCGACAAGAAGAGCATCCGGCCAGTAAATACTCATCTCCATTCAGTTGCCCTGAATGGGATTACGGGGCCATTAAATGACCGGGGGGGGGGGGATATCATAAGCCGAGGATTCCCTGTAACGTATTTGGGATTGGTCTGCATCCTTCCTTCCTTTGTTTTCTCGCCCTTCCGTTGCCAGGTCCCATGCCATTATCGGCCCCGGCCTTTTCCTTAGTCTTTCCTCTTCTGAAGATGGTGCTACTGGAGACCACCAACGACAGCGAAGAGAAGGAGGAGCTCATGGTGAAGGTTTTGCAGATAATCACCGTCCATGCTCAGCTGCGGTCCTCTACTAATGACGAGAACTGGCTGGTGGACGAGGTGAAATTCCTTTGATTCCTTTCTAAGTGATTGGCCGCCAAGAGATGTAAAATTGGGCATGTTCGTGTGACTTTCTTAATCACCGTCAATGACTTATGGCCATAATTCTGGGCTTAGTGATGCTTATAAGTCGAGGACTTCTGTTAACTCTGATTTTTATTTCTTTGTCTTTTTCTTCCTCCTTTCTCACATTTTTCTTTCTTCTTTCTCACATTTTTTTTACTTCTTTCTCACATTTCCCCCCCTTCTTTCTCACGTTTTACTTCCTTTTTTCATATTTTTCTTCCTTTCTCACATTTTTCTTTCTTCTTTCTCACATTTTTTTTACTTCTTTCTCACATTTCCCCCCCTTCTTTCTCACGTTTTACTTCCTTTTTTCATATTTTTCTTCCTTTCTCACATTTTTCTTCGTTCTCACATTTTACTTACTTTTTTTCACCTTTTTCTTCCTCACATTCTTCTCCCTTCTTTCTCATGTTTTTCTCCCACCCCTCACATTTTTCTTCCTCCTTTCTCACATTTTTCTTCTTTCTCACATTTTACTTCCTTTTTTCACCTTTTTCTTCCTCACATTCTTCTCCCTTCTTTCTCATGTTTTTTCTTTTTCCCCTCACATTTTTCTTCTTTCTCACATTTTTCTTACTCCTTTCTCACATTTTTCTTCATTCTCACATTTTACTTCCTTTTTTTCCCCTTTTTCCCCTCACATTTTTCTTCTTCCTTTCTCACATTTTTCTTCTTTCTCACATTTTACTTACTTTTTTTCACCTTCTTCTTCCTCACATTCTTCTCCCTTCTTTCTCATGTTTTTCTTTTTCCCCTCACGTTTTTCTTCTTTCTCACATTTTTCTTCCTCCTTTCTCACATTTTTCTTCTTTCTCACATTTTACTTCCTTTTTTTCACCTTTTTCCCCTCACATTTTTCTTCTTCCGTTCTCACATTTTTCTCCTTTCTCACATTTTACTTCCTTTTTTCACCTTTTTCCCCTCACATTTTTCTTCTTCCGTTCTCACATTTTTCTCCTTTCTCACATTTTACTTCCTTTTTTTCACCTTTTTCTCCTCACATTTTTCTTCTTCCGTTCTCACATTTTTCTCCTTTCTCACATTTTACT